CTGCCTTGGGCTCAGGTCATGTTCCCAGGGTCCTGGGATCAAATTTTAGCCCTGCATTGGGTTCCTTGCTCAGCAGGGAGCCTGCTTCTTCCTCTCCCTCTGCCTCCTGCTCTCCCTGCTTGTGCTCTCTCTCTCTCTGTCAAATAAATAAACTCTATTTTTTTTTAAAGATGCACATTAAAAAAAAATTTCATACCTTAAGCCCTGCCTTGTTCATTTCAGGAGCTGGTGCAGAAAAGCACTTGCAGTTCTCAGCACAGAAAACAATTACACAACAAAATACATTTCAAAAATTGGGAAAAACGTGCCGTATCCCATCCCAGCATGACAGAGCACCTTGCGTTATTATTTTGTTGTTTCTCAAATGGAGGCATACCCACGTGTTCCTAGGGCTCTGAAGTTTTACTACACCTAGTGATTTGTTTTGATTTTTAAAAAGATTTTATTTATTTGAGAGAGAGAGACTGAGAGAGACAGATCACGAGCAGGGGCGGGGAGTAGAGGGAGAAGCAGACTCCCCACTAAGCAGGGAGCCCAATGCAGGACTCAATCCCAGGACCCCAGGATCATGACCTGAGTTGCTTCTCCCTCTCCCACTCCCTCTTCTTGTGTTCTCTCTCTCGCTGTCTCTCTCTGGCAAATAAATAAATAAATTAAAAAAAAAAAGAATTCCTTTCATTTTTTTAGGTTTGTGAAACATCGCTTAAGCTTAAGCCTCTTTTGGGCAGAAGAATATTTAGCTGTGAGTCAGACACCTGTGGTTTATTTAAAGGGACATTTAGGAAATCATTAGCACAGAGGTCCCACTGGAGAACACACAGGGGATCAAGGCGAGGACAGTTTGTCTCCTTGTTCTGTAGGGAACTGCTCCATGGCAGATGTCATTCATGCTGGGGAACATCTGGGTCACACATCCCACACCCCCCTGGAATTGTCCTATAGTCACTTGGGGAGGAAAGGAAATGCTACAACTAGAGAAACAGCTGTCTTTTATTGCCTCTGCAGAGATTGGCTCAGGCCTCTCTGTCTTCCCTAGAAGGGATCCTCACTCACTTGGGGAGGGGAACAGCCATCCCATTGGAAAGCCATGGACTCAGCTAGTCCCACTGTGGGCTTGGATGGTCAGTGTCTGCAGGAAATCACAGACTAGACCATACTTAAAATTCCCTATTAGGCGCGCCTGGCTGGCTGTCTGAAGAGCGTGTGACTCTTGATCTTGGGGTCAGGAGTTCGAGCCCCACATTGGGTGTAGAGACTGCTTAAATAAATAAATCAACTTAAAAACAAAACAAAACAAAAACTCCCTACTAGCACTCACTGATCTCACTGCCTCAGGAGAGAGTGAAAGGGCCCTATGGAACAGTGAAATGACAAGTGCAAAGGGGGAGATGCTTGTGAGCCTTGCGTGCCTTTTGCAAGTAACATTTGCTTCTCCTTAAAGCTAAAGTTTTTGGCTTTAGACTGGAGAAGGGGGGACAGTGGGTGTTGGACACATGACACATTCTGCCTGGGGGAATGTGGGTAAATGTGGCCTGTGTGCTCCTCCCAGTTTTTGGCAACAAGCCTGGGATGGGTCATTTTGTGTCCTGTCACAGTTGAAGTCCTTGGAAGGCAGGGAAACATTCTGTAGGTGGGGTGGTAACAAATACTTGCCCATGCCTCCTTTTTGTTGTGAGAAGCAGAGGAAATTCGGCGTGAGAAAGTACTCTAAACTAGTAAGGGCTATCTGACTAGGAACTATTGATCACAAGATAGGAAGGTGCATGGTTTAAAGGAAAGAGCTCTGGGTTTTGTTAGGGGGCCTGGGTATGGATCTTGGCTCACCCACACACTAGCTCTGTGACTTTGGACGAGTTTTGTATCTTTCAGAGCTGATTTTGTTGTGTGTAGGGGATGTGGCGGGGGAGGGAGTCCATTTCTAAGTACAGGAATAGTCTTTGCTTTACCTCACAGGATTGTGATCAAAATAGAAAATATGACAAAGCTCTTTGTAAATTGGAAAGAAAATGTTCTTAACACAGCTGAATTTTTCAGATCTCTCCGTAGCCACCAAGTCTGAAATTGGTCCCACAGACATCTCAAGCATGATGAGTCCAAACAACAGTGACTCATCATCTTTCTCCCCAAACCAGCTCCTTCCCTGGGTTTTTCAGCTTGGCGTTAGGAGAGCAGAAAGAAGCTTATTCAGGGGTGCCGGGGTGGCTCAGTCAGTTAATCATCTGCCTTTGGCTCAGGTCATGATCCCAGGGTCCTGGGATCGAGCCCCACATCGGGCTTCCTGCTGAGAGGAGAGCCTGCTTCTCCCTCCTGAGAGGGAGAGCCTACTTGTACTCTCCCTCTCTCTCTTTCTGTCAAATAAATAAAATCTTTAAAAAAAAAGAAGAAGCTTATTCATTGTCCCCCCAATAATCTATCCAATCAAGGTAATTCAGGTACCATGGATCAAGGACCTCTGCTGTGAAGATTTCCAGAGCTTTGTAACTTACCCATGTTTACTAATTGTATCATCTCCTGCTTCTCTGTAGTGACTAGCAGGGAAAGGGACCTCATACATACCTAGGCTGATCTCATCAGGGCATCTTTCTGGTGGCTCCCCGAACCCATCTTTCTCTCCTTCCGTAGTCACTGGCACCCACTCCATTTCCTGGGGGTTCTCTACTTCCTGAGACGGAATGCGGGCTCCCAGGCAATCAGCCTTCCTGCTATCCCCTAAAATAAAAACACACTCCCCCTTTTAGTGTGATTTATTTTTTACTGTTAATCATTATGGGGAAATAGATGGGGGGGGAACTACCAAAAATATGAGGAAGTTACAAAGCTGACAAAGTTTTCATATTAGTGAGCCCTCCACCAGTTCCTAACTCACTCTGAGGTGGTAAATGAAAGTCCCTTTGCCTCTTGTCCGTGTTTATTCCTGAAAGTTGTACTTCTCACCCAGCACCCTCACCCACTCTTTCCCCCTAGGTTTTGGGCTCCCTGTGGGCAAGTGCTTGGTATTCCCAGTGCTTAGCACAGGGTCTGGCACATAGGGCTAACATACATTGAGTACTTACTCCATGCCAAATACTGTATGAAGACTTTATGTGGATTATCTCACTCATTCCTCAGATGATCCTTTGAGGTAGTTACCATTATGTCCCCATTTTAGAGAAAGGAAACTGAGGCACAGAGAGGTAAAGGAAGTTGCCCCAGGACACACAGCTGGTAAGTGGCAGGGCTGGGATTCAGTTCCAAACTATCTAACTCCAGGGCCCATACTCCTAACCACTATACTGAAGACATTTATTTTTTTTTAAAGATTTTATTTATTTATTTGACAGAGAGACACAGCGAGAGCAGGGAACACAAGCAGGGGGAGTGGGAGAGGGAGAAGCAGGCTTCCTGCTGAGCAGGGAGCTGGATGTTGGGCTTGATCCGAGGACGCTGGGATCATGACCTGAGCCGAAGGCAGACACTTAACGACTGAGCCACCCAGGCGCCCCTATACTGAAGACATTTAAATATTCGTTGAACATATTAAACTCTTTTCTTCACTTCCCATGTCATGACAACTTCTGCCTTGTTTCTCTAAAATGCATTCTCTCTAGGTTCCCTAGCACAAACTCTCAACTACTCCTTCCACTTTACAATAGGCTTGTAACTTTTTCATTAGACCGGTGGTTTTTATTTTTTATTTCTTTTTTAAGGTTTTATTTATTCATTTGAGAGAGAGAGAGAGCACAAGCGGGGGGTGGGGTGGGGAGAGGGAGAGGGAGAAGCAGACTTCCCGCTGAGCAGGGGCCCTGGGGCTCAATCCCAGGCGCCTAGAGCAGTGGTTTTTAAACCTTCTTTGAATCTCAGAGCCTGTGGAGAATCTTATCAATGAAAGCTATGGCTATTACCTAGATTAACATTCACATCCACAAAAATTTGGATACAATGGGCAGAAGGGGAAAGGAGCACACATCATCTTAAACCCATCAGTGAACCCTAGGGTTCCCTTCTTACTGTTTGGGGTGACAGTCGGGTGTGTGTGTGTAAGTTGAAATTCCTTTGCAAGGCTTACTAGGCCATGTTTACCTGTCTAGCCTCATCTCCAGTCACACACCCGAAGTTTAGGGCTTAAACATACTGGGCAAGCACTTTTACATCTCTAAGACGTCTTAGAGATGTAAAGTTCTGCTCTTTGGAATACTTGCCATCAACGTCCAACTGGAATGTTACCTCTCAGATGCCTTCCCTGACCCTCCAGACCCCCCAATTTGTTTCAGAAACTCCTCGCCTCTATCACTGTCTATAACGACGACAGCATTGGTCATGTTAGGTTACTTGCTAAGAACCCCGTCTCTCTCGATTCATCGTTTACTCCCCCAGAGCAGGGATAGCATGTCATTCATCGTTGTATCCCCAATAGTCTAGAAGAACGTACGTGACACATAGTAGGTGCTCACAACGTTTATTACATTGGTTTGTGCGGGGCTCGGCTTTCCCTCCGCGACTGTCAAGCTCATTACAGATGTGGAGGAGACTAACACGCTTAGGACAGAATCGAGTGATTAAAGTCCGCTCCGTGAGGAATCAGCCGGAGAGAAGACGAGCCCGAGGCCAGGCTTTCGAAGTAGGGCAGAGGTACCGCGCACTCGCGCGGACACAAGGTGAGTAACGCTCACGCAAGCTATTCAGTTTCGGGTCAGACTGAGGGAGACGCGCACTGCATGTTGGGATCTCGCGACTGAGGGCCGCATTGCACGGCGGGATTTGTAGTCCCGCCCTTCGCCGGGACCCTCAGAACAGTCACACCTGGCTACCCTCAAACACGTCTTTACACAGATAAGGTACAATCTTGGCCACCCAGCACAGAATGACGAGGCTCTTCAGGGCCACTATACCTAGTTGCGCTCTTCAGAACAAATCTCATTTCGGCGTTGGCAAGAAAGGTGCATTGAGTGCCACGGCGTGTGCGTGACGCCTGTGTTCGTGCACGGGCGCGCACCAGGCCCCGCCTCCGGAAGCTCCGTCGCTGCGGCCGCGCGCCGTCCTCGCGAGGCCTCCTTGAGCCGGGTGGCGCAGGCGCGGTGTCCCTGGGCCAAGATGGCGGCGCGGTGTTCCACGCGCTGGTTGCTGGTGGCTGTGGGGACCCCCCGGCTGCCGGCTGCAGCGGGGAAAGGCGCCGGGCCGCCTAGGGGGGGCGTGGTGGGGGCTTCGCTGGGCTACAAGCTGAACGTCACAACCTTCGCGCCTTCCTTGGGAGCTCGGGGCTCTGGGGCGCTGCTGACATTGAGACCCGGTGTCAGCTTCAAAGGTGAGGGCAGGTTCCAGAGCCCGAGTGTGGGGGCTAGAAGGCCCGGAAGGGAGTGACTCGATCCGGCTGCGGGGGTAGCGGGGTTGGAGGGTGTCTTCTGACCTGTAAGAGGATTTGCTTGGAGAGACTGGCAAGCAGGAGGCAGAGAGGTCCAAATGGCTTCTCAGAAGTCGTGAACAAGGGAGAGCTACATGGAGCCTGGCGGCGGTAGTGAAACGCTCCGTAGGCCTACAACCTTCACTTCTCTGTCAACATTTCTAGAAGCCTTTTTCCGGCCTGCCGCTGCTCCGTTACCCTATTCCGTTCCCGTCTTCTCCCTTCACCTTCTGGCCGGAAGGGAGGAGGTAATTATTCTTCGGTGAGCACCCGTTATGGTGCTTGGCACTTTGTGACCCATTTCGCTTGATGGTAACAATCTTGCAAGAAGGGTGTCGTCATTCTCATTTTATTTTTTTAAGATTTTATTTATTTATATATTTATTTGAGAAAGCGAGAATGAGAGAGAGAGAGAGAGAGCACATGAGAGGGGGGAGGGTCAGAGGGAGAAGCAGACTCCCTGCTCAGCAGGGAGCCTGATGCGGGACTCGATCCCAGGACTCCAGGATCATGACCTGAGCCGAAGGCAGTTGCCGAACCAACTGAGCCACCCAGGCGCCCAAGTCATTCTCATTTTAAAGAACGGAAAACTGAGGTCATAAAGCTAGATGAGAAGAGTTATCCCAAACCCAGGGCTGTCCTTTAATAGCTTATGCTCTTTCCACTACATAGTTTTAACTGAAGGGCACACTTAGTCTTTCCTAAGTCCTTAAATGGGTAATTGTAATAAAAATACAAACTAACATTTATTGAGCACTTTACATGTACCAGGCATGGATCATTTCCATGTGATAGACACTGTTGCTATTCCATTGTATAAAGAAACTTAAGCCTAGATGTTAAACAACTTGTATAATGTGACAAAGCAGAAAGATGGTGGAGCCTTGGTTCAAAATCAGCTTTCTTAATTGCTGGAGGCGTTACTGAATTAATATGTATTAAGCCTCTAAGTGTTTAGCATTGATGGTTCTGTTCTGTGTTGGACGACTTCTATTATAGTGAGAGAAGGAAGGAGGAAACGTTGAACCAACCATGTGTCTGAATTGTGCTGTTGGTTGTGTTCCCTAGTCATTCTCCTGTCTGATGATCTTCCCTGCTTCCTGGATAGCCTCAACACCTCTGGTTGTATTTTGTGTTCAGATTAATTTTAAGTGGTCTCCCAGGCCTCCAGTTTGTTGTTGTTGTTAGCGCTTTCTCATGGAAAGCCCATCGATTCTCTGTTTAACACTTGCAGTGTCTCCCTGTTGCCTGCATGATAAAATCCGGACTCCTTAGCATAGCTCAAAGGCCCTTCGGTTTATTCCTAGCCCTCATTAATCATCAGCAGCATCATTACCTCCTACCACCCCTCTACATGCATAAAATCTAGTTACATCACTGGTTACTAAATGCACGAGGACTTTCCTGTGAACCAAAGGTAATACATGATTTTGCAGCCAAATGAGGCACTTTTGAGCAGTAAAGGGGAAGCTGTTTCAAATAACATCAGGACTGTAGGTGTAATTCTGGGCGGATTCAAACCTTTCCTTAGCCTGGTTAATTTCTACAGCTTAACAGCAGCTGCCTTAAAAGACCTTTCTGGAACTTTTTCAGTTGGATCGTCAGTGGTTCTCGACTGGGGATGATTTTGCCCTCTACAGGACATTCGGCAATGTCTGGAGACATTTTTAGTTGCCAGCGTGTGGCAGGGGTAGAGGGGGAAGTAGAGTGTGCTACTTATAAATAGCTGGCCAGGATGCTACTGAACATCCTTTGACATTCAGGTATTTTAATTGGCCAGGGATGCCATAACAAAAAACCACATTTATCCTCTCAGTTCTAGAGGCTAGAAGTCCAAAATCAGTGTTTTGGCAGGGTTGTCTTTAAAGACCCTGCCTCCAGGGCGCCTGGGTGGCTCAGATGGTTGGGCGTCTGCCTTCGGCTCAGGTCATGATCCCAGGGTCCTGGGATCGAGTCCCGCATTGGGCTCCCTGCTCCTTGGGAGCCTGCTTCTCCCTCTGCTTCTCTCTCTCTCTCTCTCCTCCTCTGTCTCTCATGAATAAATAAATAAAATCTTAAAAAAAAAAAAAAAAGACCTTGCCTCCAATTACTGTCACATTCTGAGGCACTGGAGATTAGGGCCTCAATACGTGAATTGGGGGAAGAGGACAGAATTAGCCCATAACAATAGGAAAACCCCTCCACTAGGAGGAATCCAGTCCCATCATCAATAATGTGAGTTTGAGAAACCCTGATTAGGTGACTCTTTGTATGTGACTCTGCATGTCCTTGTGTACTAAAAGCTCTTTGCACACTGCCTGCCACACTCTTGTGCAGGACTGTAAGCTCCTTGGCTTTGGCTTTTTTCTTCATCTTGTGTCCTCAGTGCCTACTACAGCGTTAAGATCTTGAATATACATAAGCTTCAGAAGGGCAGTTCCCTTTCAATGGTCTGCTACCTATTCCTGGAGCAGAACCCAGTGCCTGGCAAGTAGTAGATGCTCAGTGAGTATTTGCTGTATGAATGAATGGTGAATCCAGAAGCTTCTCTGTAGGCAGAGGTCTGATGTGGAAACTTGGAGTTGTCACGACTCTTATGCCTTAATGCTCTCTTTCACCCCCTGCCCTGCCCTGCCTATCTTCATTTGTCACAGGATGTGTTGGGGGTTAGGCAGGGCTCAAGGTGTGGGGTGGCTCCCCCGCTTCACTTGGTGACAGACCAGTCCAGCTTAGTTCTCTACCACAGGCCCCGAGGGCAGTTGAGTGGGGCAGAGTGTGTCTGCTGGTGGCTGGTCCTTCTGGTGCTGATGCTAGAAGCATGAAAGGACATATGGCTGCCTGCCTTGGGCTTTGACCCATTAGCTGCTCTGGGGTAAACAGGTTCAGGCCTAGCACCTTTTAATCCTGTGTGTCTATATAGGTGTATTGTTTTTAGGGGAGGGGCAGCACTTTTATCAGATTCTCTTAGATCTGTGACTTGAAACACTAAGAACCATTTCTTTAGTACAGTGGTCCTCAAATTGAGCATGTGGCAGAATCACCTGGAGGGCTTATTAAGCATAGCTTACTGGACCTCCAGAGTTTCTGATTCAGGTCTGGGGTGGGGCCTGAAAATGGACATTTCCAACAAGCTGATGGTGCTGCTGGTCCAGGGACCACCCTCCGAGAACCACCCCAGAAGCAGATCCCCAAGGGTGCATGGTGAAGGGAAGGAACCTGGGGAATTGTTAAGCATTAAGGGAGACAAAGCATGTGAAGATACCTGGCATATGGCAGGTGCTCGGGTAGTGTAACAGTGGGACAAGGTCCCTTTTTAATCATCCCCCAGGTATAGCCTCCATCTGGTGTGCTGCTCCTTTGGTGGTGTAATTAGGGTACCTCCTCACTGTATTGTGATCCAGCAGAATCAGCCCTGCCCAGTGGTGTTTCTTTTATATTCATTATATACAGTGGCCTTGGCCATTTTTAAGTGAAGTGAGTTTGGTCTCCAGAGGGCTTGGAGGAAAGCTGACTCCAAAGCTATGATCTCCGTTCCTTCACAGTTATAACCTGGCTGGTTGTTCACTCACAATTTCCTTTTGTTGAGCACATTCCCAGAGTGATTTTCTTTCCTTTTTTCTTTTTTAGGAGTAAAAAGTTACCCTTTTGTTTGTACTGCCTCCTTCCACACGAGCTCCCCTTTGGCCAAAGAGGATTATTACCAGATACTAGGAGTGCCCCGAAATGCCAGCCAGAAGGAGATCAAGAAAGCCTATTACCAGGTCTGTATGGAAGCCAGATTTTAGGGACAAGACTGTAGAAGGGATGCTGTTGGTCTAGTCTGCTCACCAGTGAGGTGTATCTGCCCATACGTATGGGTCCTGTGCGGCTGACAGTGTAGAATGAAATGAAAACAATGGGTGTTCCTGGACTGTTCCTCAAACACATAGTGCCCTGCTGGTTAATGCTTCAGAAAAAAAGAGAGGAAGAACCAAAGATTTTTATTTTTATTTATTTTTTAGTCTTTTTTTTTTTTTTTTTTTAAGATTTACTTATTTGAGAGAGAGAGAGAATGCGTTTGTGTGCATGTGGCAGGGAGGGGCAGAGGGAGAGGGAGAGAGAGGATCTCAAGCAGACTCCCCGCTGAGTGTGGAGCTTGACGTGGGCTCAATCTCAGCCCTGAGATCATGACCTGAGCCAAAACCAAGAGTTGGATGCTTAACTGACTAAGCCACCCAGGTGCCCTGTTTCCCCTTTTTTTCTATTTATCAGTAGTGCTGCTGGTAACATCCACATAGAAGTTTTGTGTAGACTCATGTTTTCATTTCTTGTGAGTACGTTCATATACCTAGGAGTGGAATTGCTGGGTCACATGAAAAATCTGTGTTTAACCTCTTGAAGGACTGCCAGACTATTCCAAAATGGCCGCACCATTTTACATTCCCACCATCGGAGGATTCCAACTTCTCCACATCCCCAGCAACACTTGTTCTTGTCTATCCTTTTTTTTTTTTAATTAAAAGATTTTATTTATTTACTTGAGAGAGAGTGAACAAGTGAGAGAGTGAGCACAAACCCAGGGGGAAAGGCAGAGGGAGAAGCAGGCACCCCGCTGAGCAGGGAGCCCTATGTGGGACTCAATCCCAGGACCTGAGCCGAAGGCATACGCTTAACTGACTGAGCCACCCAGGCACCCCTTGCTGTCCTTTGATTATAGCCACCCTACTGAGTGTGAAGTGGTGTCTCACTGTGGTTTTAATTTGCTTTTCTGTGGTCGCTGTTGATGTTGAGCATCTTTGTATGTGCTTATTGGCCATTTGCTGTATATGTATTCAGATTCTTTGTCCATGACTGGGTTGTGATGGAATGAGCAAAGGCATGGGGGGGTAGGAGGCAGAGACCCTGGCTTGGGATAGTGAATAACATGCTGCTTCCTTTGAGCTGGAGGGTAAGGTACCAGATGTAAGAGTGGGAGAGGAGTGAAATGATGGAGGCTGGGGCCAAACTAGCAGGACACATGAGGCTGTTTGTAAGCACTAGAAACTTAATTTAAGAGAGAGCAGGGAGGGGCCTGGCTGACTCAGTTGGTGAAGCATGCACCTCTTGATCTTGGGGTCATGAGTTTGAGCCCCACGTTGGGTGTAGAGAGTACTTAAAAATAATAAAATCTGTAATGTAAGAAAAAAGAGTAGGGAACCACTCAAGTTTTTAGGTGTGGAAATGAAAAGATTAGGTAAAGCTGTGCAATTTAAAAATGGACATTTTTAAAGTAGCCTTTATAGAGAAATTTCTGGGGTCAGACCTTGATGAAAGCTTTGGGTGTATTGCATCATTCCATCCTCCTGACAGGCTTGGAGAGGTTATGACATCCAGCCAAGGCCCCATCAGTCAATATGGATCGTACATGAGACTAAAATACTGCAACAGATCTCCCTTTTCCTTAAGCTAATCTCATAAGTATACCTCTCTGTCTTACCTGGCTTTTGGGACCAGCTCTGTGGCCAATGATGATCTACTGGCTGTCCCTGGAGATCCTGCTTCAGGGTTAACACACAGTCTCTGGCCTGCTTCCACGAGCTGGTGTGAGGACCAGCATCTCCAGAAGCAGCTTGAGTTCAGAGGCACCAGTGGCGCTCTATTCTACAATGGCAGAGCTTCTCCTGCTGCTGCCTTTATTCTGTCTCCCTGACTTTGGGGAGTGGGTGGATGTTTCTGGCAACCTGCCAGCACCCTCCATCCTCCTGAAAACCAAAGTTGGGTAGCACATGACTAATTCTTTCTTTGTAGGCTTAGTGACTTGTATTGCTTTCTTTTGCTACCACGGAAGATTGAGAGCTGTTTGATTCTTAGTGTAAAGAAAGAACTCTGTGGGGTCAATTATTTGCCAGGCTGATTTGTAAAAGGGGATTAAAGTGACCTAGGAACCAAAATCAGGAGTTAGACTTACTCTAATGAAGAGCTCTCCATTGATGAGAGCTGTTGGTCATGGTACACTCCACCTTGGGTGAAAGCGAGTTCCCCGTCACAGAAAAGAATCCTGTCGTGTTTCTCGCACTTGGATAATGTGCTGACACCCCTCTTTTTTTTTTTTTTAACTGTGATGATGTGTTTAAAAATTACGTTAAAATGTACCCAACCCCCTTTGAAACCATATGAATTTCACGTGATCGTGTTTGTCTAAAATGAGACTGTTTTGTGTTGTGGTTGTCATCCTTCTGTCTCCGGCATGGCCCCGTGATGTCATACAGCCCTGTGATGTGTCTGAGAACTTGCTTGAATTTGAACTCCTTTGGGTCCTCGTTTGGCACTCTGAGCCGTGACGCTGTTTTGTCTTTACTTGGCACAGACTTGATCTTTACATATGACATCTCCCCTCATTCATTTCACCTAAGCCGTGGACACAGTACCTCACCTGTGAGCTCTAAGGTTGTCTGCTTCAGTGCTGTATTTCACAGTGGTCATCCTGATGGTTTGGGGTATACTGGTAACAATCAGGAAGTTTTGGCTCATCAATTGACAATTTAAAATTCCTGTCAGAACTTATTAGATGTCCCCACCTCCTGAACATGTCCTTCTGCTCCCTTTTATGTTCTAATAATAGCTGATGTTGAATGTTACTGTGTGCCATGCCTTGTGCTCATTTTATTTTTATTTATTTTTATTTTTATTTTTTTTATTTTGTTCAGTCAGCCAGCATATACTACATCATTAGTTCTTGATGTGGTGTTCAACGATTCATTAGTTGCGTATAACACCCAGTGGCCTTCTGCTCCTTGTAGAATATGTGTTATCTCATTTTATCCCCACCACAGCCCTGTGAAGTAGATATCATTATTGTCATCTTACGGATGAGGAAATTGTGCATAGTGACATTCTGCCCAAGGTCCCAGGGCTAGCAGACAGTGACTCTGGGCCCTCTGACCCTGAGGCTGTGCGCTTAACTTCCCGCGTCCTGACAACAGCCGCTTGGGGTGTCAGAGCCACGCAGCTTCTCCAGTAAGCTTTAGCATTCTGTGTGCCTCCTTCCCTCATGTGAGGGACCTCGGTAAGCCAGGCTTGGAAGGCATCGGTAGCACACACAGTGAATGGCCTACTACGTGCACAGCACTGCTCAGAGCAGCCACAAGGTCACCTTTGTTTTATAAATTTTATTTATTTATTTATTTGAGAGAGAGAATGAGAGAGAGAGCATGAGAGGGGGGAGGGTCAGAGGGAGAAGCAGACTCTCCACTGAGCAGGGAGCCCGATGTGGGACTCGATCCTGGGACTCCAGGATCATGACCTGAGCCGAAGGCAGTCGCTTAACCAACTGAGCCACCCAGGCGCCCGGTCACCTTTGTTTTAGAGTGGCTCAGCACACCTGTATGCCCTGGACAGCCGAGCGGGTTTTTTAATATTTTAAACCTGTGTTTTGAATAGGTGGTATATTTCCTTTATTCAGAATTTGAAAGGTACAAAGGAGTATACAGTGGAAAGCCTCCTTCCCGTTTATCTGTATCCCTCCTGTTGCAGTCAGTCTACTAGTTTATTGTGTGTTCTTTCAGAATAGTTTATACAGCTGGTAGTGTCTTCTCTTTCTACGTAGATGGTAGTCCGTCAGACACACTGTTTTACACTGCTTTCGTAAAGGTGCCCAAGTTCTAAAGGATCAGTTGTTATTTTTGATAGACGTTTGTTGTGGTTGGAAAGTGTGTATATGCCTCAGATTTGAAGAGACAGGTTTATTTTAAAGTCTTTTTTTTTTTTAAGATTTTATTTATTTATTTGACAGAGAGAGACACAGCGAGAGAGGGAACACAAGCAGGGGGAGTGGGAGAGGGAGAGGGAGAAGCAGGCTTCCCGTGGGGCAGGAAGCCCGATGCGGGGCTCGATCTCAGGACCCTGGGATTGTGACCTGAGCCGAAGGCAGACGCTTAACGACTGAGCCACCCAGGCGCCCCTATTTTAAAGTCTTAAACCTTGTTCTAAGTATTGCTGTTGGTCACAAAACTTAAACAACTGCTATAAAGGAGGTGAGATTGTGACTGTCATTTGGGGTCCACTGTTAATCATCATCTTGTGTCCATAGTAATTTACCATTTCCTCCCTTAGCTGGCCAAGAAATACCACCCAGACACAAATAAGGATGATCCCAAAGCCAAGGAGAAGTTCTCCCAGCTGGCAGAAGCCTATGAGGTAACACGACCTACCTGTGTGTGCAGCTGCCGTCATTCAGCTGCTTGCGTACATCCGAGTGTGTGGCACAGGGTGGCCTGACATGTCATGAGGTCCTGTGTTAAGGCTGTGTTCCCTATGCCAGATTACCTCAGTGAAGAAAAGATTCCCAGGTCTCCTGCTAGATCCCACCTGGCATCTCAGGAGAAAACAGGATCTAATCATCTGTATTAAAAGAGTTCCCAGGTCATTTGGATTTATAGTCGGGTCTAGGAGCTCCTGGTTGGATTAATTAATCCCACACTTATTTAATGACCCCTTTCCTTAGGGCATCACTGTCTCCTGGGGCTGGTGGGGATTGTAAAAATAGAAGGCTGCCCTTGAGGGATTTGAAATATAATCAGAGGGATGAAACACGTACTTGTGGATGACTGCTGAGCCATTCCAGAGTGACCTTCTCCCCAGACTTCGAGCATTTGGGGGGTTCAGGATACATAGAGTATCACATATCTGCTCTTTGTGTGCGCGTGTGCTCGCGTGCGTGCGTGTGCCACCGGCCGTTTGGGAGTAAGTCACAGATCTCTGTCTTTATTCAGTCCTCCAGTGTGTGTTTTCTAAGAACAAGAACATTCTTTTGCATGACCACAGTACATTTGTCAAAACCAAGAAATTTAATGTTGCTACGATCCCCTTATCTGTACTTGGTGTGTGCTCGTGTCTATGTTCTGGGCATTGGGAGACTCGGGCGGACCTGACTGCTGGGCCTTCCCGGTAGGTGCTGAGTGACGAAGTGAAGAGGAAGCAGTATGATGCGTACGGCTCTGCTGGCTTTGATCCTGGGGCCGGCAGCTCCGGACAGAGCTACTGGAAGGCAGGCCCCACTGTCGACCCAGAGGAGCTCTTCAGGAAGATCTTTGGGGAATTCTCATCATCTTCTTTTGGAGATTTCCAGAATGTATTCAATCAGCCTCAGGAGGTAAGCTCCTTGTTTTGAAGAATCATTCACATTTTAGCTGTTCAATGTGAGGCAAACAGATTTTATCAGTTTCTTTTTCTCAAAAAAAAAAAGGCATAGCAGCTCAATAGAATGATCTGGAAGCTGCCATTTTGGTAGGAAATCATTCTAATGTTTAAGTAAAATCATGTAGGTAATATGTGTACATTCATTTTAACTATATTCTTGCAGCTGCTTAATCAGGCAGCCTAAGGCTAAGGCTCTCAGGGTGTAAGTATTTTATCTTGAAGGCCTGCTACATTATTCTAGGAGAGCTCAATCCAGTAGGGAGACACACGGCATATTTATGTCCTAATAACACATGATCGGAGTTGAAGAGAGAGGGGGGATGTTTTATGACTTAAGTTATGATTGTGGATCTTTCCAGCTGTCTTTAAGGACTGCGTCCAAATATTATCTATGAACAGTTTGTTGAAAAGTACATTTTCACTGAAAACAAACATTCCCTTTTAAAAATCCTGAGTATGGCAGAATCACTTGAGTCCCATCCATTCTTATTAGGCCGAGGATAGGTAAGTAAAATAGTTAAAAAGTAGAGTAGCTGGGTGAAGAGATGAGTAGGTGGAGCACAGAGGAGTTTTTAGTGAAATTCACATTTAGTGGAAGTACTCTAAGATTTTATAACAATGGACATTTGTTCAGACCCATAGGATGTACACCACCAAGGGTGGACCATAATGTAAACTATGGGCTTTGGATGATTATGATGTGTCCATATAGGTTCATCCTTTATTAAAAAAAAATGTACATTCCGGTGAGTGATGCTGATGATGGGAGAGGCTGTACCTGTGTGGGGTGGGGTGCGGGGTGTGTGGGTGACCTCTCTACCTCCTCCTCAATTTTGTAAATATAAAACTACTTTAAAAGAAAAATTAAAAGAACTGGGAACTGCTGACTATTGTCCTCCTTTACTTTTTAAAGTGGAGGATCATGTTGGTAATTATTAAAAGAAAGATATCAGGCTGTCCTCTGGTTTCTTTAGTACATCATGGAGTTGACGTTTAATCAAGCGGCCAAGGGGGTCAACAAGGAGTTTACCGTGAACATCACTGACACCTGTGAGCGGTGTGACGGCAAGGGGAACGAGCCTGGCACCAAGCTGCAGAACTGCCACTACTGTGGCGGCTCTGGAATGGTAAGAGCCCCCATCCCCACCCCTTCCCTTGGGGCCTCCCACCTCTGGCCTGCCCACTCTCTTCCTCACCACCCTGCTTTCTGTGCTCCCAGGGCCGGTTACCCGGCAGTACTTAGTGCTTTGAGAGGCTGTAACTTGCTGGGACTTTTATCTGTAACCTTCTTTTTTCCTGAGTGCTCTGTCTTGGTCAGTGGTACTGCACTATCCTCTCTGAAAATACACTTGGGGAAATTTTGGTAATTTGAAACCATGGTGGAGGGAGAGAGATTTAAATTTTGCTTGAAGTGTCATCATTTTTTTTTTTTTTTCCCAAGATTTTATTTATGGGCGCCTGGGTGGCTCAGTTGGTTAAGCGACTGCCTTTGGCTCAGGTCATGATCCTGGAGTCCCGGGATCGAGTCCTGCGTCGGGCTCCCTGCTCAGCGGGGGGTCTGCTTCTCCCTCTGACCCTCCCCCCTCTCATGTGCTCTCTCTCTCTCTCATTCTCTCTCTCTTTCAAATAAATAAATAAATCTTTAAAAAAAAAAAAGATTTTATTTATTTGACAGAGCACAAACAGGGGCAGTGGCAGCAGAGAGAGAGGGAGAAGCAGGTTCCCCACTGAGCAGGGAGCCCAACATGGGGCTCAATCCCAGACCCTGGGATCATGACTGAGCCAAAGACAGACACCCAACCAACTGAGCCACCCAGGCATCCCGATAAATTTTTTATATAATACAAACTTATAGAACAGTATAAAGGGTGACTCCATTATTCCTTAGCCAGATCACCAGTTGTCAGCATTCTGTCCCATTTGCTTTGTTATCTGTGTTATGTATTTTCAAAGAACAAGAACGTTCTTTTACATAACCCTAGTGCAGTTGTCAAAATGAGGAAATTTAATGTTGATACAATACCGTTATCTATACTTATTCACCTTTTTTCTTTTTCTTCCTTTTTTTTCTTTTTTTTAATATGGAACGCTCCACGAATTTGCATGTCATCCTTGTGCGGAGGCCATGCTAATCTCCTCTGTATCGTTCCAGTTTCAGTATATGTGTTGCTGAGGCGAGCACTCACATTTTTTCAATTGTCCTTATGGTGTCCTCTTTTCCCTGGTCCAGGATCCAAGCTAGGATTTGTGTAGTATTTGGTTGTCATATCTTTTGTTTCCTTTAATATCAAATAGTTCCTCAGCTTTTCTTTTTCTTTATGACCTTGACATTTTTTAGGATTACAGGCCAGCTGTTTTGCAGAATGCTCTTTATTTGGAACTCATTAGATATTTTCTCATGATAAGATTCAGATTATGTGTTTTTGGCGAAACACCACATCCCTTTCCAGTGGATCATGTCAGGAGTCATAAGGTGTCCGTTTGTCCCATTAGTGGTGATGTGACATTTGATCACTAGTAGTTAGTTAAGGTAGTGTCCACCAGCTTCCTTCACTGTAAAGTTATTAATTTTCCCTTTGTAATTAATGAAGTTGTGGTGAGGCACCCTAACACTCTATAAATATCCGGTTCCTCATCAAACTTTCACCCAATAGTTGTGGTGTCCATTGATCATTCTTGCTGATTAGTTATTACTGGAACAGTCACAAGATGGTGATTTTCTGATCCCAGCATCCCTCTGCGTGTCTTAGTTGGCATTCTTCTGAAAGGAAGAACTTCTAGTCTCCATTGGTGTATTTATCATTCATTTATAGCAGTATGAACTCAGGTATTCTTATTTTATTCACTGGGCTGTGATCAGTATAATTACTGTCTTCGATATTCAAATTGTTCTTGACTTGGCCTGTAGAGTCCCTTCTAGCTGGCTCATGTATCCTTTGACAGGTCCCCCTCATTCTTTGAGCACTTCCTATCACAGTAGGATGTTCTAGACTCAACTTGTGCTTTTCCTGCCATACCCTTGAGCCAGTCGTTTCTCCAGGGGGTCCTGGTTGCTTCTAGTGTCTCCTGGGATTTAGAAACCAAGACCTGTGCTCTGGGTGTGCTCATTGTGTCTGGAGGTTTGCTGCTTCTATGCCCTCCTGCAGACTAGGCTGGGGGAAAAAAGCATATGTGCGTGCGTGTGTGCAAACATGCATGTACATACCCATATCTGAACCTCCTTCCATATTATTCACATTATAGGTACACATGTACATGCACACGTACACACCTATCCCTCCACCCACTATCACTCTGACAAACCAGTGAGTTCAACGTGATAGTTCCACTTCTAGCCCATTACCACAAGGTTCATCTAGTCTTCTGCCTGTCGGTATATGAAACTTTTTTCTTTTTTTTAAAGATTTTTATTTATTTATTTGAGAGAGCGAGAATGAGAGAGAGAGAGAGCACATGAGGGGGGGAGGGTTGGAGGGAGAAGCAGACTCCCCGCTGAGAGGGGAGCGCGATACGGGACTCGATCCCGGGACTCCAGGATCATGACCTGAGCTGAAGGCAGTCGCTTAACCGACTGAGCCACCCAGGCACGCTGTGAAACTTTTTTCTGATAAAGAGAAGTCTGGCTTTGATTATCCTCAATATATTTACTCGTTTGCTCAACTCTATAACACAAAAAGGAGTTTCAGGATTGTTACTCAGAATACTGTGAAAAATAGTCCTAGTTACTGGCATTTGCTGTTTAGAGTTCTTTTCATCTTTTGTTTGAAGGTGTATAGTTAAAATACTGTGCTCAGAAGTTATTTGGGTCAATTCTTTTTCTCCCCTTTCACTATGGTTATATCTCTATATATTTAATTGTAGTTAGGTTTTCATTGATTATGTTTGGATTCCATTAAGATGGATTCCTGTTTGAGAAGTTCTCTACTACCCACCTTTAAAATCAGTCATTGTGTGTGTATGCTGGTATGAGGTAGAAATTGTCTTTGAGAGCAGAAAAGTTCTTAAAAAGTAGAAGTCCCTGATAATCCCACCACTCTAGCATTTTAAGTTTGTTTTTGTCCAGTTTTTTTTTTTTTTAAGATTTTATTTATTCATTTGAGACATAGATACAGAGAGAGAGAGCAGGAGCAGGGAGAGAGGCGGAAGCAGGCTTCCCGCCGATCAAGGAGCCCGATGTGGGGCTCGATCCCAGGACCCCGGGATCGTGACCTGAGCCGAAGGCAGATGCTTAACCAACTGAGCCACCCAGGCGCCCCTGTCCAGTTGTTGATTAGGAATTTCATTTTTGGGGACACCTGGATGGCTCAGTTGACTGGGTGTCTGACTCTTGATTTTGGCGCAGGTCATAGGCTCACAGTCGAGCGATTGAGCCCCATGTTGGGCTCTGTGCTCAGTGGGGAGTCTGCTTGAGATTCTCTCTCCCTCTGCCCCTCCCCCTACTCGCACATGCAACGCACAAGCACTCTCTCTCTCTAAAATAAGTAAATCTTAGGGGTGCCTGTGTGGCTCAGTTGGTTAAGCATCTGCCTTCAGCTCAGGTCATGATCCCAGGATCCTGGGATTGAGCCCCACATCAGGCTCCCTGCTCGGTGGAGAGCCTGCTTCTCCTTCTCTGCCCCTCCCCACCACTCATGCTCGCTCTCTCTCTCGAATAAATAAAATCTTTTTAAAAAATTCAGAAAAATGGAACTTCATTTTTGTTTTAAATTAGTTTTCTAATAGGTAATATATGCAAATCATTAAAAAGTTAGTGCCTGGGTGGCTCAGTCGTCAAGCGTCTGCCTTCGGCTCAGGTCATGATCCCAGGGTCCTGGGATCGAGCCCCACATCGGGCTCCCTGCTCAGTGGGAAGCCTGCTT